GTCTTTTGCATTTCTTTTTTTGTGAAATTTGTGTGATGACTTCCCACCCACAATTTTTTATTCAATTCAAAAATTACTGTCATGATTCCTGTTTTGGTTATATAGTCAAGTGGCTTTTAGGTATATGCATATTAGGATTTTATGACTGCTTTATTATTATGAAGTCCTGTTCTTTATCTCTGGTAACATTTTTGGTCCCCTGACCCACTTAAGATTTTTGTAATTAATAGTATACCATTCTAGCATACAATAGTATACAAGTCTAGCATAGTCTAAAGCTTTATAAACATTGATGAATGTTACATTTTTTTGCTTTCACCCAGATTATTGCACATTATATAACTAACCATGTAAATTTTTCTTTTATAATTTTTTAAGGTGTAAAATATATACAGAAAATTGAATAAACAGGTGCCTTGTAGCAGATAATTACATAATAAACACTTGTGTTATCATCAGCCGGAGAGTCTGATGAAAATGTACAAAGAGCTTTTCTCAGTTACAGCCCCAGAAAGGTCATCCATCTCTCTTCCTGCCCCAGAAAGGTCATCCATCTCCTTTTCCCTTATAGTAATAATTTCCTTGTTTTTATTTATGGTTTTGCTACTTGTGTTTGCATCCCTAAAGAATGTGCTTTGTATTTTTCACTCTTTGAGATTTATATAAATGGAACCAATGGAACCATCTTATATTTAGAAGTTTAGCTTATTGTATTTGACTGCTCACTTACAGAAAATGATTATTAACATAAAACATAGAACAAGACTAAAAAAAGGCGAGTGAATAAAATAGTGAGTAAACATGTATGAGAGGCTAGAAATGAAAGGTGGTAGGTATTACCGTGTTCAAGGACTCTCTGCTTGACTACTACCCTGAGATTCTTTTTCTGTTCTAAGATAACCAAAACTGGAAATTACAATCTGTTGTGGGATGTTTATGGCAGGGAAGAGGGTGAATATTTCAATTAATAGGTCCATCCTTAAAATATATTGGTATACTATGTGTTTTTACTTCAAATGTATTGTTTTCAATTAACAGACTCTAGCCCACTTACACTGGATAAGACTCTACAGTAAATCTTATAGCATTGAGAGTAGAATGGGGACAAACTCATCAGATATTGTACTTCAGAAATAAGTATTCTGAATTATATTTCGTTGACTTATTTGTTGGAGGTAATATTTTATCTTAAATAAATCTAGATTATTGACTGCTTTTCACTAGACTTTTCTATCAATGAAACTCATTTTATTTGTACCTCTCTTTAGCCTCCTTTTTAAAAATAATTAATTCTGCCTAAGAGTATGTCAGTAATTCATTTATTTGAACTGAGACAAGAACACCTGCTAGCGAAGGTATCACATGTTTCTTTTATCATTAACTTATTCCAACAAGATATCATAAGCAAGTCCATTTCAGTGAATAATGTTGATAATCTACTTCCAGATTTAATCTATTACGTTTTTTTTTGTTGTAATTAATTTTTGAAGTGTAAATGAAAATTTTAATCTTAAAAAGTTACTGTCAGTTTGGAAATAAGAGTGTCCCAGGAGCAGTGTGGGAGAAAATATCAGGTATAATTCTCTTCCAGATGGCACCCCTACAGGTGAGGCAGCAGCCTGTGAAATTGCAGTCTGAATTGCACTGCAGATGAGTAGGGCATTTGGAGCAATGCCTTCTGATATCAGTAATAAATGACTTGGTACAGAACCAAGGACAATTCTCAGGAAATTAAAAGCTGTTGTATCACATAAAAAGCCTATAGTAAAATGAAGTTTAGCAAAGTGTAAAGTTGAGAAAAAGGACACCTATCAGCAGTACTGATATGAATCATTTCATTTGCTTATATTTTTAACTAGACATACTAATTTATTTCATAAATTCCATATATTTGCTTCTATGCATAAGGTAGTTTATGCACTGATTTTCCCAAACAGATAATTTCTGCAGTGAATAGTGACGGAGACTGACCCAGCATGTATTCCCGGAAGAAGGAAATAAAAACAGAAATTTCAGTTCTGATTCATGGATTATAATATAGAACCCTTCACACACACACACACACACACACACACACACACACACACACACACACACAAATATTACATGATTCCAGGCAGTCTAGTACTCTTTAGTTTATTAAACTCATCCTCATTCTTTCTGTTATTTAATTTACTAAATGTGATTTTAAAATTCTGATTAGTCTTTACATTTTCAAATAGCTTTAATTTTTTTTTTTTTCAGGAAAGCCTTATTGTTCCAAACCCTTTTACATGTATTGGCATATTTAATCCATGAAGTAGACTACCATTGTCACTGTCACTTTATAGGTGAAATTCAGGCACAGCACAGTGCTTTTTACTTGCTCAAGATCACTTAGAGAACAGGGCTACTCTGGGATTTAAATCCTGGTATATATGCTCTTAACAACTATACTGTTGGTATTGACCATAGCCCACTAAAATGTGTTAATCTGTGATGAATGGCTAATAATGAGCATGTTGCTAGAAGGTTCCACTTTCAGTTATTCATCAAAAATACCTGTGGGTTTGTTTATAGTGTTGGAAATAAGATGAAATTTGAGCATATGAAAGCAAAAGAGAGACCTAACTAACTGCATTAAAAGAGTTATACTGTAGGGCCCTCCCTGGTGGTGCAGCGGCTTAAAGCTCAGCACTAAGAAGCTAAAGCCACTTCAGCATAAGTTCAACCCCCGCCCTGGGGGGATCCACATGGCATGGCAGACCTCTCCTGACCCACCTGCTGCTCCCCTCAGCAGTGTACTTCGTCAATCTGCCTGTTCTGCACCCCACTCTGTCTCTGGTGAAGCCTCTCACCCTCCGCATCTCTGGCCTGTACCCCAGTTCTGTACGAATAAATAAATAAATCTAAAAAAAAAATTATGTGGTAGGGAAAATAGGTAAATACCAGTGTGCATTTGCAAGTGGCAGTTTAATTAGGTTCCTTTATAAGTAATTCAAGCATGAGAACTGAATTTTCCATAAATTTAAATTTGCTGTTTATTTCTTGTCAAGATCTATCTGCCATTCCAATTTTCTAGGTTTTTCTTACTATAGATAAACTTTTAAAATATATTTTAGTTCATGTGATTAAAGAATATATTATTTGTTGTATCAGGTGGTTATTTGTGCATAGAACAAATAAGTGAAAATGTTTTGATTTAGATTGCTAACATCAGTGTAAAATTCATTTTAGTTCACACTAAGCAGTCATTAGACAGGTGCTAAGCATTGTGCTAAGCAATTAACTAAGTTACTGCTCAGAGTGTTGGGAGGTGAGTCTAGCAGGAGAAAGATATCTCACTTGTGACTTCATCATTTCTGTTGTCTGTGTAAGACATTAGAATATACTGTGTGACACCAGTAGGGGCAAGTTCTCATTTCAGTTGTTCTATGATTATCTTTCCTTGATGGAGTATTTATTGTTATTCTTAAAAATCTGAGTACACTGGGGTGATGGTTCATTAACTGTACTTCAGACATTAGTTGTGCAACGTGTTGGTAACTGTTAAATAGGGGGAAAAAAAAGTCAGTGGTTAAGTAGTGGGTAATTCTTGGTTAAAATGTGCTCAACAGTACACCATTATACTTCTCAGAATTCTCAATGTACTAACACATGTTATGAATCTCTAAGAGGAGGATATAATCTCTGTGTTTCTCAAACTTATGTAATTAAATTTATTACATCCCAGACCCACCCTGGTAGTGCAACAGGGTTAGGACACAGCACCTCAAGCTGGTCACAACCACTTCAGTGCGAGTTCTATCCCCTGCCCCTGAGGTTACCCACATGGTGTGGTAGACTTCTCCTGACCCGCCCGCTGCTCCCCTCCACAGCATACTTCGTCAGTCAGCCTGTTCTGCTCCCCACTGTCTCTGGTGAATCCTCTCACTGCTCCTGCACCTCTGGCCTGTACCCCAATTCTGCATGTATAAAATATAAATAAATCTTAAAAAAATAATAACCTCCCTCTTTTTTTTTTTAAGTCATAGAGAAGCTCACTTTGAGAAATTGTGTCTGGACTAGGGTTTCTCAGCCTAGGTCTGTCAACCTTTGGATCCAGACAGTTGTGTATTGTGGGGGCTGCCTTGTGCATTGTTGGATGTTTATCAGAATCCCTTACCACTACGTACTAGGTGCCAGTCCATTTCCACCTTGTAATAATCAAAAATATCTCCTGATTTCTGCCAGATACCCTCCTGAGGACAGAAGTGACAGTCAGTCTTCACTGTGGTTTAATGATCTTTCAACTGTATGATAATGTTCAAACAATAATCAGTGGAGACCATATTTCAATTTTAAATTTTGATCTTCTCCTGGGCTAGTGAACTGTGCTACAATACTCTCTTCATGCAGGATGGCAGCAGCTAACCATAGCTCCCTGTCACCCATGCAATCACAGGCAAATAACTGATACTCTGCAATATATTGTGTTACCAGCATTTTTTTGGGTGTTGTACTTTGGGTTTCAAACTCTGTCTCCTGTTTTTCACTTTTAGTATAATACTAAAATAAGCTAGATGACATAGTGAAGAATTTATTATAAAATAGTTTGTTTTAGATAACTTTGCCCAGCTGCAGGCTAATACAAGTATTCCGTTGATTTGCCATATTTGATGTAGGCTAGCCTAAGTGATATTCTGTAGCATAGGTGTACTAAATTCATCTTCCACTTGAGATAATTTCACTTTAGGATGAGCTAATCAGGATGTAACCTTAATGTAAGTCAAGAAAGAGTTGTAGTTGAGAACCATTGTTCTACATAAATATCGTAAAATCATGAGCATATTAATAATTTCTATCTGAAATTTTCCGTTTCATCAGAAACAGTCTAGAGGATGGAATAATATGTAATAGTAATTATTACATAACAATATTTATTATTATGTGAAGTTCATATTGCAAAAAACTGTGTATAAATTGTTTTGCATATGAGGATATAGCTCATTTCTGAAGTCCACTTTTTCCTTTTTATTCAGGGCTATTTTCTTCTTTTCGAGTCTATGTTAGATTCTGTACTTTATGCAAAGAACAAATACTTGGCAAAAGGAGGATCAGGTAAGTATAAAATTTTAGTTTTAATCTAATTTTAGTCTAGCAGAACCAAATGAACCTTTGGATTTCAAATAAACTATGCATGACTGAGAAAGTTCCCAATAGAGATGAAAAATATTTCTATTAGATGAAGCTTTAAGACATTTGTTTACTATACATTTGATGGTAAAACATTATGTAAGATGGGCAGGACTCTTAAGTCAGAGGCATTTTTAAAAACAATTTTTATAAAAATAATAAAACTAGACTTGGAAGCTATTTAATATTCACATCAATATTTAACAAAGTCCTTTTGACTTTTAATACTTGGGACATTAAGTTCTTTTATTCAAGTAGATATTTCATACTAGGTTGGAGATGGTTCGCTTTAGATGAAATTTTTCATCACTAAGTATGTAAACCTGGCTTCTCTGTGATTTTATTAGGAAGCTTAAATATTGGGTGGTTTCTGCTAAGTTTTTAAAACATAACTACCCAATCCATATTTTTAAATAGATTCCAGTAAATGTAGAAGACTTCTTTTCATTTTTCTGGTTAACTTTTGATCATATTAATTCCACATGTTCAAAGTGAGATTGTGTTTTTACAGTCCTGCTGTAAACAATTGTATACAAACAAAATGTTGTCTTTCAGTGCAGTGGTTATGACTCTTAGTTGAACATCTTAGCTCCTGGGACATAGAAAAAACACTGTACATGTTTGTTGAAATAAACCATTCAAAGTGAATTTCCTAGCCTCTGTCTTTACCACCTGCCCTGCACCTTCCCTATTTTAGAGCTTCAAGAACAATATGTGGTTTCCATGGTCAGAGTACAGTTGACAAAACTGTTACATGAAGGTGGATGAAAAGGAGGAGGCATTTTGAACTAGTGACATAAAGCACATCTCCATTTTTATGTCTTCTGCTGTATGAGATTATTTTGGCAGTTATGATACAGTAAAACATCAGTAAGACAAAAACATAAAGTTTAAAGAAAATTCTTCCAGTATAAAAGAGTTCTGATAATTTAAATGAGTTGACTTTCTTTCTTAAACTTTTTCTATTTCATCACTGTATTGTCTTAAACAATTTCAGAATATAATCCTGATCTTTTGTGAGAATCTGCTTAAAATTTTGAGATGCATTTTACTCAGTTGCAGTTGGCTATATCTTCCGTACTTCTTGTACTATTTTTTTTAATGATTACTAAATGACTAAAAACTATTATCAGCTATTTATTGATTGACAAATAGCTGCCAAATAGTAGACTCTACTATTGCATGTAATCCTCACAACAGCCTGTTGAGGTTTTAGAAAGAACTTCATAAAAGTGAAGTGACATATTTTTTACTTAGAGCTGTCAAACTCCCACATTCATCTTCTTTTCACTGTCCCTTGTTTCACTACTAAAGTGAATTTTATTGAATCTAATTGTTGCTTTGAATTTATCCTAGGGAAAATCCAGAAAACTATTTCCTTACCTCCCTGAATGGTATTCATTGATCTTACTAAAAAAGTGACATCTGCTTAATACATTTAAATTGATTTTCTATGAAATTCATTAAGAACTTGCAGCATGCAAATAATGAAGTTATAGTTGATGAAACATTGGCAGAGCTATTTCCTATCATCAGAGAGATTAAGTGGGGACTTCTAAGTTTTACATATTTTATATATTTGATATTCACAGCTAGCAGTGTATTGAGTGGGATAAGCAGTGCTATTGAATGTTGTAGCTTAATTGAATCAAGAGAAAAGAAGGGGAAAGTCAGAATAACATAAAATAGGTTAATCTATTTGTGTATTTGAGCGTGGCTTGACAAATGCCACCGATCATCTACATGTTCATTTTCCTATTGCAGGGTAAAATTTCCTTTTCTGTTTTTCTGAAAGGAAGATTTACTGCGCAGTTGTAGCATAACAATTTTAGGAAGAATGCTTAAGAGAGAATATTGAAGATGTACATAAAATGAAACTAAAATATTTTTGTTAAACAAATTTACTTTCAATTTATGTCTTATACTATATAATGGCATAATAAAGGTTTTGTGCATGTGTGTGTCTTATGGATACTTGAGGTTTTTGGTAATATGCAGCTTACATTCTTGCTATTTTTATGAAAGGAAAACATTAGAATAGTTTAATACCACCTTATGTGATCAATACAAAAGCATTTTCTCGAGAGTTGAAGTAAGATTGGGATGGTCTCTGTTACATAGTTATTTGAAATATCAGAGGTGCTAGGCATTATAGTTGGAAAAGAGACAGAATATAGACAGCGAATTTTATTTTAAAGATTTGTTTTATTTATGCATACAAGAACTGGCCAAAGGTATAGGGGTTGAGAGGATTCACCAGGAACAGAATGGGGGGCAGAACTTCTGACATACAATGCTGAGGGGAGCAGTAAGCAAGACAGGAGAGGTCTGCTGCACCATGTGGGTTAGCTCCCTGGCTGGGGATTGACCTCATGCCTCAGTAGCTGGTGATAGCTTGATAGTGAGACTTTTTAACCCCTATACCACCAGCGAGGCCAGAAGGTAAATTCTGAAAATGCTAATGTTATTGAGATTCAAACTTGGAAACTTTCAAGTGAATCATGGAAAAACATAGAAATCACAAATAGAGGTGGCATAGAAATGACAATTTTATGGAGCACTCCCTGGTGGCATAACGAGTTAGGACGCAGCACTGCAGCACTACAAGCTAGCCGCAGCCGCTTCAGTGCAAGTTGGATCCCCAGCCCCAGAGGTGATCCACATGGCATGACAGACCTCTTCTGACCCGCCCGCTGCTCCCTTCAGCCGTGTACTTTGTAGATCTGCCTGTTCTGCTCCCACTCTGTCTCTGGTGAATCCTCTCACTGCCCCTGCACTTCTGACTTGTATCCCAATTCTGTATGAATAAATAAGTCTTTTTAAAAAGAAAGAAAGAAATGACAATTTTATTTACTCACAGACTTATACAAACAACTTTAGTACTTTATGACAAGAAAAACTTTATTAAAAATTAAAGGCATAGTGCTTTGATATAACAGATCAAAAGTGTCTATTCTAAAATTAACTTAAAATGTACTACAGTCCAAAAAGTTGACGATTATTAAAAGTAGATGATGAATACATAGGAGTTAACTATATTATTCCCTATTTTCATGCCCTTGAAGGTTTTTATAGGAAAAAGTTCTTAAAATTTTAATGCCAATTGATTTGACCTTTTAATCACTATTTGAAAATAAGAATGTCAACAAAATCTCTTGAGGTAGAAGAGTACCAGGGTGGGAGTAGTAGGAGAAGAATAGTGTACCACACAGTTTAAAGCTTCAGTCATTAAAGTATGTTGGGTTTTGAATGGACAAATGAATTGAACATAATAGAAGATTTTGGTATAGATCCAGTAATATGTGACATCTCATATAAGTAAGCAGTTAACTGTAGTAAATTTAGTTACGGTGATTGGATAACATTCTCTAAATAAGTGTTTAATCAGCACAATAATTGTACATATAAATTTTAAATGAGTCAGAGATCAAATGCAAGGCAATAGCAATAAAATGCTGAACATACTAGAAGGAAATACAAATGTGTAACTTTATACGCTTAGGGGAAGGGAACTGCCAAAATAAGAATTTAAATTCAGAAGCTTGAAAGGAAAGATTGATAAATTTGATTGAATTTGAATAAACTTCTAAACAGCAAAGTTTGCCATAAGATGGTAAGAAAACCTGCAGACTAAAAAAAAAAAATTTCATTTCTGGCCACCAGAAAAACGCTAACCCCCCTAAATATATAAATAGATTCTACAGATAAACCACAAACCCAATTGAAAATTCACAAAGAAGTAAATGGCAACTTTTACATCTTTTACAAAAGAGTAAATGCAGATGACCCTTAAGTATATGATCAGTCTGTCATATTGTGAAAAATGTCCAATTTAAGAAGTCGTTGCTTTACTCAAGATCACATAGGCATTTCCTATGTTTTCCTTCTTGATGTTTTTGTCTTTTACATTTAGGCCTATGATTCATTTTAGGTTAATTTTGGGGTTTAATTCTTACTTATTACATACTACCAGAGTTCCTGGGGTTTTGTTAGAAATGTGGGTGTTCCATGTTAGACCTCTTTGAACCAAAAACTTTTTAAAGGTATATTTACCTTTGTATTCAGTGTTCTTGTTGAATGAGATAGAGAAGGAATTATTTAAAGGATAGGATAGGTTATAAAATCTGTGAGAACTAGAAAACCAGGCTGGAAAGTTAACCAGCCAGGAGCAATATTCAATATTACTTTATAGAACTGGCTTAAAAGTGATACCAGTACCCTAATGCTGGCCGCTAGCTGGCACAGAGGAAATTGCTGATCTCCAACAGTAAGCACTACTGCCTCTGAAGTAGGCAGAGATTTTATTTGATGGTTCCAGGTCTTCTAAAAGGGAGGAAGGCAAAGGTAAGTTCTTTTCATTTTCAACTGCAGTATAGGAAAGCAGGTCCTGCCTTATAAAGCAGATTGCACAAACAGTTCAGAAGGGGTAACAAAATAAGAGTGGCAGATATAAACTTCAGAAGCACACACTTTTTCTCACTCTTTCTGTGTGTGTGTGTGTATACACTTATATATACTTAACACTTTATAAAATAGATAGGCAAGTAGGTAGAAACACTGCACCTTCCAAAGGTCTTTCACTTTGCATTTGCATCAGAAAACTTTAATCATGGTGGTAGCAACACCTGCCTTTTGTATACCACCTGACTTTTACATAAGTGATCTCTGTAACCAGCCTTTAATACTGGTCCATAATGATTATAGGTTTTCTTCAGTATTTCCATAATGTACCTTTTACCTCCTCTAACTTTCAGATCTCCTTATTTCCCCTTTATTATCTTGCTTTTGTTCAATGATATTGAAGAAGTAGCTCTATTTTCTTTTTCAGTATATAATTTTTTAATATTAGAGATGCACTTTAACCTAGTCAAATTTTAGTGCACTCAGTCACAATTTACAAATTAATGATGGGCAGATAGTCCAAT